ATTAATTATTGGTGTATTTATTTATTTAATTTTGGCACTCTTAGCCCTCCATAATTCACGTCAATACATTTTAATATGACTTTCTACTGGGCCAGTTTTCACTACAAAACTTGAGGAATCACAGCATTTTCTTGCAGAAATGCATCTCTAGTTTATATGTATGTATGTATAAACAAAGGGCACAAATTGAGTTTGATTTGTTGCATATGCTTCACCAAATCTGACCCATCTCATGTAAAAGTATATACTATAGGCATCCTGGAAGTGGTTCAATAGAACTGCAATAGATAACCTCTTGTTTAAGGATATTGCAATGTGGGGCCATTTTTATGTAGCCTATTTATTTTGTCTCTTTTATGTTAGACTGTAAAGTTCTCTACATATTGACACATTTTCAGGAGAAAATGAGTACTGAGAAGGTAAGTTATTTTTCATTTACTTGCAAAAGTTATTTTGAAAGGCAAAGCTATTAGAAACATTAAAGTTTATTAAATTTTATTCTTATGAATTAATTACTACTATAACTAAACTTGCATCTTAAGTGGTAGTAATGTTATTTTTTTTCAGAGACAAATATTCAGGTCTGTTTCCTTCAAAACCATACACAAGAAACGACAGTAGAATCGGATTTGGGAAAGAGTGTCTCGATCACATAAAAAAACCCACTTTGAGCACACTTCAGATGGAAGAGATGACTTTGTTGACTGTGGAAGCAACCATGATGTTGATGGTGNTGGTTTGGAAGAACTTGAAAGATGGAAAACAACAGAATTTCGCCAGTTCGCTTTGTACACAGGAAAGGTGGTTCTTAAAGGAATTCTTCCAGACCAGTTGTTTGAGCATTTCTTGGCCTTTAGCGTAGCTCTATGCATGCTTGTCTCCTCAAAACTCGCTCAACGCTAAAGTTCGTATGTGCAAGAATTACTTGTGTTTTTTGTGGAACAAGGGCGATTTTTATATGGGGAAGGCTTCTTGGCGTACAATGTCCACTCTTTGATTCACATCATGGAAGATGCAAAAGAATTTGGATGTTTGGATAGTCACAGTGCCTTTCGTTTTGAGAACTATCTACAGGAGCTTAAAAAACTAATTAGCTCTGGAAGACGTCCTCTTACTCAAGTCATGAAAAGAATTGAGGAGAGCAGAGTTTTAATTCAAACCAAAAGCAGACAAACTAATGAAGATGCAGTTGGTCTAAAGTATCCCAACAACACATTCATGCTAAAAGAAACATCTTGTTGTGAAGTGGTTTCAGTTGTTTCTGAGAGGAAGAACAGTGGAAGAATGCTCCAGTATAGAGTCTATGAACAGGTCGAGCCGTTATTTCTCAGCCCTTGTGACTCTCGTTTGATTGGAGTGTACAGAGGGCATGTGAGAAACACACAAATGAAAATTGTATCTGAAGATTGCTTGGAACAGAGGACAATCATTATTGAAGAGAATCATGGATCTAGATTTGTGCTTGCATTCTACATAATCTCTGATTCTTGGTAAATGTGCTTTAATTGCTTTTAACAAACAATTCTATCACTGAAAAGTTGTTAGATGCATTTTATTTTTTAATTTTAGGTTGATCAGCGTTTTGCAGTTGTTCACTTTCTGAGGGAAAATTCGGTTGATGTAATACCATCGTCTTGGCTGGAAAAAGTAAATGGGGTAAGACATGAAAAAAGGACAGATACAAAGAAAACCAAGTGTAACAAACCCTGCATAACTCTGATTAGCTTGTCAAAAGAAATTCAAAAGTCACTGCAAAGTTTTCATTGAAGAGCATAAGGCTGTTATTTCCTAATTAGTGAAACTTTATCTTGCGGATATCCCACTAGGTACTATGAGTTCTTCTTTGGACAGGGGAAGTTCACAAGGTACTAGAATTGTATTTTTAAAAATTTCATATTGAAAATGAATCACGTTTATATAATTCTATTTATATGATGATACTGTCACAGAGAAAGAGCATGGAGCTGCACTGCCTGCTCCCCCCGAATGTAAGTGTTTAATTACATAGTATACACAGTATAATTATTTGATGTCTGGTGTTTTTTTTTTTTTATAAACAAATGTTATAATTGAACTGTATTTTATGTCTTGTGTTAAGTTTGTTCATCACCAGTTGTCAGACCTACTTCTATCTCTTCAATGCATGATGCCAACTTACAAGGTATAGTCATTTCTAATTTATACTATTGCAAGGAAGGTCCATTTATGGACCTTCTTTCCATGCACTTCCAAGCCACTGTAGATACTTCAAAATGCAGTCAATCAATCGAGTTGTTCACATGTCACTCCCCCTCTCATCTTACTCTATTGGTTCCCAGTAGGGTTAGGACGACTATTTGACGTAATTGACTATTATTAGTCAAATAGAGAAAAAAAATCGCTACATTAATTATTTAGAGAAGAATCGTTTGGGGCAGCACTAGTTCCCAGTAGAAGCATATGTCAGTATTTAAGACCCCTACAGTTTTCCCGCAGAACAGTCAGTGGATTATCACCTACCTATTTGAGGTCTCTCACCTTACCCTACACTCCTTCCCATGGTTTTAGGTGTATTGATTGGGAAATACCACCTTCATCACAGAACGGCGTTCTAGTGGTAGGATACTCTGATATAGCCCAAGTGTTTTTTGGTTCAAATCTGGCTGTTTCCTAACTTTTACACATCTTACTCAGTCGTTTTGATCACACCTGAAAGGCGCTTTGGATGAGAGCATCTGCCAACTAATTGTGTATCACTTCAAAACCACACAAGCATTTGTTTAGTTACGTTTAGTTATTTTGTTTTCTAGGTTCATAGCAGAACTGGCCTTATGCCACATATTGCCTTTCTGCATACATTTTGAAATGTATGTTTTACCGAGCCATATGCTTGGCTCCATGGTCTTGTAAGACCTAAAATGGTTGCTTAAAGGGGAATTTCACTTACACTGTTAAATTAATTTCCTATCAAGAGCTTTATTGAGGCTTCTGAAAAGAGAATTATGATGAAGTTAGAGAGGATGCAGGATGACTTTCAGAATGCAATCTAAGGATTACAACAAATATCTGCACCCTCCCCATCACATGAACAAGTGATATGGGAGAAACCATGTGAGACTCAACAGGATATAGTAGGGCCTGTGCAGCAACTTAAAAAACCTGGCATACATAAGAAAAATAGTAAGGTATTTGCCTCCACATTAACACTGTAAAATAGACCTCTGTATAAAGAATAATTTTTCATACTAAAATATTACTCCTTAGCAAATCCAGTGACAAAATATGGGTCAAAATGTTTTACGTAATCAGAAAGGATGTGTTGGTTTCAAATGTATGACTAACCAGTAACTTGGCATTCTTCTCTATATGTAGTACACACATGTTGTTACAAGAAAAGGAATTTTATTCTGCAGTGTTTATATCTTAATTTGATTTAAATATACTCTTTTTTTTGTAGATCCACTACCTGAGCCTGCTGAGGGGCAACGATGTTCGAGACACAGTGAGGCTCATCTTAAGGAAAATAGGGACCAGTGCCTTGTGGGGAGAGTACAGTTTGAAGGGGAGGAAAGGGAAAAGATCCTTTGAGGTGTTGGAGCTATACAATGTGATTTTATGTAAGTATATATAACCCTAGAAATAATAAATAATAATAAAGACCTAAAAAACAGACATATAAAGACCCTGTAGACATGAGTCATGCAATCAAAT